TTGTTAAGCGTCTGCTACCGTCGGCATCTGACGAGGGCGAACCACCAAAATTTAGAACAAAGACATCTTCCCCACGCGTTTCAACATCATTTAGAGCGCACAGGTAGCGGGTGAGCCATAAAGGCTATTGCCACAAAGGTGCAAACACCGCGAGATTATGCGCAGGCACTACAGAAAATCCGATTCTGTTCAATCCGAATTACTTATGTGAAGTGGAGGCTCAAATTGAATGTGAATCACTAAGTTAGCGTGCTTACCTCTGTATTAAGCAGACTGTTTGCAAGATTGTTCCTCACTCTCATAGGTTACCCCGCTTTTTGCGGCCTACGTGGCCGCTCATTTTGTCAGGTTATCTGTCGGCACCTCTTCTGTGCTCAAACCAGCTCAGTATCGTAAAGGGCCATTCACTGAAAGAATCGCTATGTTCAACCCATAATCAACTCAACAGAGAATTGATTTATTCCGCAATTTTCATTGGAACAGTCTCCAATATATTGATCCATTCTCCATTTTTGAAAGGTAATGTAAGGTCTTCTCATCGATGATTGAGTGTTCCCTATTTAACAACGCTGCCATCTAACTCGCATAGAGGGTGCGTTTGTTTACCGAAGAACCGCTCAACATAAACACTAACTGTCAACGAAATAGGAAATACTACACTTGCTTTAAATAAATGTTTGATTACCATTTTTGATCTTGAAAATTTAACTTACTGGAAATCGCATGATGATGACCCGTTTTCGAATACAAGCCGGCTATTCAGCTGAAAAATACGCCATACAACTGTATTTGTATGACATATAGTGATAAGTTCATATCGCTGACTGCGTTTCGCTGACGCAATGTTCCGAATAAAAAAAAAACAACACAGAGACCTTAAGATCGTTTTGGCATCTGACCTTGTGTTCTAAAGGTAAAAAACGTCCAGTATTGTGTAGCTCTATGGAAATATCAGTTAATACGAAACTCAATGGAAACAAACAACCCGTTGAAGATATGACTACATCGCCTGTTACCTAAGCGAAAACTCGCTCGAGAAACAATTGACCCACTGGGGCAAACGCAATGCAGATCGTTCATGGTTGAGCCCAAACCAAGCAAACGACGAATCAGGGCAATTCGTTGTGACTAGCAAGGAAGCTTTATTGATTGGTACATAATACAGTGGTGATTGCGTACTTGGATGAATTGCCTCTATAATTGGTACCGGCAGTGCTGATCGAAGCTTGAAGAAAACACTTGTTCAAAGTTAGTAAATTAACAATCTGTTACCGTTGTGTCATATGCCGCAGAAATTAATAACATCCAATAGTCATAATAATTACTATTATTGACTCTACGTAAATAGGCGCAAAAACCGATGTCTGGTCTACTCGAGTGACGACTATCATCTACCGTTTTGGCGATGGCGCAGTGGCAATGCGTTTACCTAGTAATCGGAGATACTCAGAGGCAATCCAGGTTCGATTCTGGGCGTAAACGCTCCATAATCTTCCACTGAGGACATCATCAATAACAATACGGTGGATATAGCAACCTGTCTTTTTGGTTGGTCCCCATAAATCACAACGTTGGGTAGCGTACGTTAGAATCTATGCTAAACAATATTACCGAAATCTGTGATAGAAAATACGGCTCATCCTTACGCCGACCCTAAAGCATCTTACAACTTGTATCTCTGGGGTTTATTTTGACAGTACTAGAAGCGCTCACGTTTGTCTTTGTAACCATGCAACCTACATGTAGAGGCGCCAGGAATAGCTGAGAGATATCTACTGAGAAAAGATTCATCCACGAGTATTATGAATTAATGTCAATTTAAGGCGTTGCCTCTAAACTGACAAATTATACATTAAGTAAAATCTAAATGCAACGAGATCAAGCTTATATTTATCTATTTGTCCATTCCATTGCATTAGCTGTACGGCATTTGGGTGCCGCTTAAGCTGTCCAATAGCAAGCCCCCCACTCAGAGACACAGATTACTGCCCTATCTAATAATAGATCTACTAGCGAAGGGAATCCCTGAGGAACCCCCGAGAATGCCAAACACCCACCCAGGCGCTACAGCTGCCTTTCAAACTATCTTAACAACCTGGCAACTCCCTTATCGAACGTTAGCTCGACTCATCGACCATGCCCGAGAAACTGCTCCTTGAAAATATCTGTTAAAAGCTGTTTTGAGCTAGATGTAGCACATCTGTAACGCGCCAAAAGGGTCCAGATGTAGCGATCGTTTTAGGTAATATTAGCAAGCAAAGGCTCTTGTCTATGTGCAGCGAAATGGAGCCGACTAGGGAAATCTGAGTAACATGGAATCTGTCATTTTATACGGAAACATCTTTAATTATCGCGAACCAGCATAAACTGTCAGTAGAACAAATTCACTTAAAAATAAACGGTTTTCTCACAGTCACACGAAATATGGCCACTCCTTCCCTCGTTTGTTACACCATTTCATTGTATATATATTAAATATACATAGGCCCAAGCAAAATACGCTACATCCATAAGCACGGTTTGTAAGACCAAGAGCCCCTTGTAAAAAAATTATACTGCAGTAATGCTAAATACGTATTGTACGTTGTTGCTTTGTATTGTATAAATGTTAGTTTAGCAAGCGTAGCACTTCTTGTTTACGTGTCCGGTTTGCTTTGGCACTTCTCCTATTGCTGCTACGAGACAATAACAACATAGGTCAGTAATAGATCAGCAAGCAAGAGCGGGCAACTGACGCCTCAGACCGCACTTACCAATCATAAAACTACTAATATTTGTTTATGTTCTTGTAGTTAACAGTGGTGAGTTCCGTCGGTATTACGGCGTACTCGATCGAGAGCTACTATAAGAAGTCGTCTATGTCGATGAATCTTTTTCGCATTGTCACCGTGACTCTCACGTGTTCCGCAGCAGTTGTCGTAACGATCAAACTCCCACTTTACGCTAACAAGCTTGAGGTTACCCATGGCGCTGCGCGGTCCCAGATTCGACGATAAACAAACGACCTCTGATTGTCCGCAAGCCGAGGGTCAAGCTAGGACGCCATGGCCGTCGTCGTATGTTACATGCAGCGTTAAGAGCATGTCGCGGTCAGAACTGAGCTTTTTCTCGGTGACTGTTGCTTCTGTCGATTGTATGCCGTGCGATGATTTGGCCAGCGGGAGCCAAACGGTTGCGAAATTGATAACAACAGCAGCAGAAGGAATAGCCGACGCAGTATCATCACGGCAGCGACTATTTCTGAGGTAGCAAAGATCGTAACTGGAATAGACGAACCGCGAGTGGAAATACACGACAGTTTCGTAGAATACAACGCACTTACATACGGGTATATAATATAGAACATTCTTGAAGTAAGGAATAATTAGTCTAAACGGAGCATCCAATAGATCAGGTGCCATTCTGATACCGACTATGTGTATGTAATTCAATAGACACACAGACGCATAGGCAAACGTTGATAAGTCGACGTAGATTGTAAATATGATGTAAACAGGAACGGCCCAATGTTCCGCGAGCGTCAGGATGAATGCCGGTGAATCGGTTAGATGCAGCGTAACGTCTACGATGCTTCCACAGAAGGGAATGCCGATAAAAGCATGAGGATTTATGAGAATGAGCGGCAAATGAAGAAGTTGAAGGTAAATCAATGTGTTTTACGCTCGACTGTTTAAGGATACCTCGAGCGTCCATTGTTAGTTTTATGCAGATAGAAAAGAAAGATAAGGCTGCTGATTAGTTGTTATTGTTGCATCATGTGCGCGAACAATAAACTAAACAGCTTAATAACAAATGAAAGATACACTAAGAACTAGGCACGCTACTGCGCCGTCTGCACTGATCATGGCAAGTCGCAGTTAGGTATCGGTCCTTGGACAAAAGCTAGTTTCCCCCTATGAAGGGTCATGAACCAATCATTTGACCACCTTCTAATTATCTTTCCTTAAAGAGATGTATTTAATTTGGTAACGCTCGTCTATGTGGACGATGTTGACAACATAGAAGAAAGCTTTGAGCTTAGAAAAAAAAAAAAAAATTATATATATATATTATTTTATTTTTTTATTTATGTCTTAAGTCGGCCAGCGTCAGAGCTGTATAAACGGTTAGGCATCGCACGTATGGGCGTAGTACAGAGAACGGATGGTTCGCAATAGCGCCAAATAGTATTGCATTCCCATTCAACTATGGGCAATGGGCTTCGATCACAAAACCAATGGACGGATGAACGCACGAAAAAAATCAACGAACGAGGTGTATGTATGTTTCGAGCAAGACTCGCGGCGAGAGGAGGTCAGAAACGACGAATGGAAAGGAGGACAGGTATAAGCCAACGCTCAATGTCGTCAAATATTCGCCACGAGAAAAGGGGAACTTTAACTTTGCTTGCGATCTTATTGGCGGTTAATGATCTTCAAGATGCATTCGAATAACGAGCGGGTTCCGTTGAGAACACTCGTATGGTCAAGCCCATCCGCGAAGATCGCCTAATGCGCTCCCTTTATTTACCTTTTACTCTTTTCAGCGGTATCAAACGACCCGGCGATAATAAGCTCGCCCGCTAATGTTAACTATTGTAAGCTGCGGGAAAAATTCGCCGGTCGACGATTTCCCAGAAGCTTTGCTAGCGTTTGGGTTGATTATGAGTTCTGATATTTACGACTCACGAATTAGTTACTGGTTATTAACCATATTGTAATAGTTAATTAAGCTTATCTCGGTTTTACTTTTAATCCAGTATCGCGTATTTTTCAGTTCGGATATGCTCAACGCATATAAATAGTAAAAACGTCTACACAGATACAGGTAGCAGACCCTTTGCAACACTGGCTGTCAGTGGTCGAATTTGAGTTACCGAGGATGTAATGCTTAGGCCTATAGCATGACCCATATGAAATGAGGACGAAAGTACCTAGTTGTTTTGCAAAAGCCAGTTATCGAAGGGGATTAGTGAAGGCTAAATTAGCGATTTGTTGAGTACGCGTCGCTGTATTGCTTACCCTATGCTGCATTTGCGAGTGTGGCAGGTTACTACTGATCTGACTTCCCGCCGATACGAGAATGTCGGCGTCCAGTTGGTTCAGATGATCCAGAAGGCGGCTCAACTTGGAATTGCTGAGCTTTACTAGGGAATTAACGTGTGCCAAGGACTTTCGGTCTGTTGTCGCTTTGCGGAGATTCTCGGCTCCTTCCTTTATCTTCAGCTCCTTCCTAGAATGCAGAAGGTAATCAAATGTATTTATAAGTCAATATTTTTATATCTCCTATATTTTCAGGTTATTGACTATTACTTGTAACATCTTTTTTACATAAACCGAAAGACATACAGAAACCGAAGGGACATACGAGAGGGTTCCGTGGCCACGAAATCGAGCACACACACCTCACGGCTTTCCCAGTGGGGAAGTTTAAAGAGGCTTCAGAGCCGAAAGCTATTAAGTGTCCAGACTAACAGATGGCAAAAGGCTAAAAGCCTATTTTACATCAAGTAGAACAAGTATTGCCGATCTGTACAGTGTTAGTGCTCCCATTTAGTGCTCCATATACATATATATATTATAACTTAATATTTTGGTTTTACGCAGTTTTAATAATGCAAGCTAATATCATGTTTGATATTCTAGGTTCTGATTCGTTCAATAGAACAGTAGACCCGCCCATAAAACTAGCTTCATTTGCCGACGGTTACCGTCTTTTAGTGATACGTGCACATACAACTATCAAATGACAAGAAAGAACATCATTTTGAACTAAAAACGTAGACTTCCTAATACAGTACAGGTCCGCAACTGATTATATGGATGTGTAATCGAAACGCAATTTTCCGGTCAATTTAGCTGAAATTATTCGAAATTCTGCTTTTAAGTGGACCCCAGTGAGGCGGTTCTTTCAAATCATGCGCTTGTCAGAACAAACGCATATGGTACTAGCAAGCGATCCATATTGAATATGTTTCGGATAGAAGATGTGCATATCGTCCAAGAAGGATAAGGGCTACTCATAGTTTCATTCCGCGCCTGTTGTTCTTCTTCCTGTTCGCTTTTCAAATGCTTAATAGTTTCCTTTATTCAGATGTTCTGCCAAGGAAATGTAACTAACAATCTAGCCCGATAGCAAATAGGTATCGATGGTAATTTTCCTAACGACCACATCGATACCACCGCGGCGACTTAACGGCTTTACATTACGAGATGGTACATCCATCTGCCACATTGCTAGGACATGCTTCTGCTCTATTTAGAGCTAATTTTAAAAATAAAGAAAAAAGTATTTCCTTTTTTATTTGAGGAAACCGACGACGATCATTGCAAGGCCTCAGATAGATAGCACTGTAGTAGCGCACCGCATGTTAGATGTGGGCGGTTCTTTCGTGGATCGAGTGACGAGTCAAATTAGCGAATTCGCTCCTGCTTGTTATTACTATACCGCAGCTCGTTTCCGAATACGAGGCAGCAAAGACTTTGCTCGTTGTAAGTGCCCCTAATAGCTTAGTGGGTAACGTATCTGTCTGCTAATCTTGGGGATACGTTGTTGTCTAGGTTCGAACTCTGGCGATGCTTCTTGTTCGATATCGGTTTTATCCTAACTGTCATGAGGGTCGATGAAGTCCTTAAGGTATGAGATAGCGCACGCTTCGGAATCGACACGTGTCTCCTAACGTAAAGATCGTGATTATGACCATGTTTTTCCTAAAAATAGGGTAAAAGGACTACTTTTTTTACAAACCCTGTCAGTATAACACGCGAGCAGAATTTACAGTAGTATACTAGAGGTATCATGTATTCATTACTCAAATTCAATTTGATTTTTTTCAAGAAAAACTCTGCTCAGTACTGTCAGTGAATTTAAGTGCTTGTTCACTGTTATTAAACATGACGCCTCACAACCCCAAAGGGGATTTTAGGCTGTGATGGCCGATATACGTGGAGTCTGGTAGCAATATAATTTTAGGACTCATGCCACTTGTTCTCATTCATAGACGAAGAGCAATTTTCGCGCTTATATTGCGGTAGAAAAGAAACGCGTCGACCTATCTTCGCTCGTTGAAATTTAACTTGTTAACTGCGACGTATCTTAGAACTCTGAATGGAAGACGCGAATAATTTCAAACTAGTCCATTCGATGTTCGTCTCTGACGAGTTAATTAGAAATAAAACCACATGTTGATTTGTTTTGCTGTCGAGATAACCAGTTGTGGATGATTTATCACCCCCTGGTAAGGCAAAAAGGATTCAATGGCACGAAAATGCTGTGTTTAGTCAATTTAAGGACAAATCTCAAGTTACGCAAGTATATACTACATGCTTGGTGGAGGGCCTGACGATCTTGGCGCACCACTTATTACGGTTCGCAGAATTAGGCACCACAATCAGATGGTGGATAGAAAAGGCGCTAAAGCTCCATGTCAAGGTTTACTGAATACATAAAATAAATTCTGATTTGGGAGAGATATCCCGTCGCAGATATGCGGTAGAGTGGGTGTTGAATGAGTTTCGACCACGGCTGCTCCTTCCGTAGAGATATTTAGTATTAAATCAAATTTGACCAGTGATGCTACGTTGAAAGAACAATCCAAATAGCTGAACATGTGCAATGTACTATATGTCCAAAGTATCTGTCATTAATAACAAATAACATAGATAAGATGCAATAACCGATCGAATTCTATATGTTTTCGTTTACCCAGACCCCCAAAAGACAAGTATTCGAGGCCGAAGCGCCTTTTTTCATAGACTTCCTTAACGTTTCATTAGTATATGACAACAATCAGTATAACAAGTAATCGTCACTCTTTATTCAAGGAGTTACGTAGGATCTTACCCAGTTGAATAAATCTGCAGATGTTAAATACATACCGACAGCAAAACAACTGCGTGCTTTTGGAAGATTCTATTCATATATTGAAGCTTCTAGTTGGCGAATGTCTTACGTTTCATCTAAAGGGAAGCTTATCGGAATAAGCACCAAGCGCGAGACTCGAAATGCTGATTTATCATGCATATCTGTTATTCAGTGCGATATTTGCAGCATCATCATCAAAATTTTCCCACTTTTCTACCCGTTCGATTCCATCTCTTTCCCTTCTATTCAGATGCCTATCAAAGGAAGAACCCATACACCGGTACCAGAATGGCAAATTAGAGATATATGTGTATACATAACCTTGTAAGCAACCGGTGGCCTGCGTTCTCTTCAAAGCAAATCCTACTTCTAATCTATTCAATAAAAGACAGGCACTTTCACATTGACACATATACGTATATGATATGCAAATCGCTATATTCCTGGATATATGCTGTACCCCTCCAGCCAACAGCCTGAATCTTTCCTAGCACAAATAGCCTACCGTTGATGTTACATGGCAATCGTTTTTTTTCTCTAATAGTTGCGCGAACAAGTTTAGCGGTCGGCATTATCCTGAAATCAAGATCACGTCGTGCCAGCCAATGACCTTTGCTTCATTCTGCTGTCCAGGGGCTAGCACAGATAACCGTGGACGGTCCCCTATAAGTTAGACCATGCAACCATCGCGTTCATGGTTCCTGCTAAGGAAGAAGAACTACCGTAAACTGCTGGCTTACCACAGTTACCACGAGTAGCGGTGGCCAACGCCACGACACTCGCGTGTCGTTGGCCAAGTATACATACCGGAAGCTGCACGCTACACAAACGCGCCATTGTCTTAGCGTCTTGGGTATGGCTTCGGTTGCGTTCCACTGGCGATTTACGTGGCCTCAGCTCCAACGTGAAAGCTGGACGAAGCATCACATGCTTCTTTTCTCCTGGCACCGTAGTTGTTTTGGTTTTTAACCACAGAGCGCGCGACCGCACGACGCTCAACCAACGTTGGAAGACAAACTGTGCTTTCGGCGAACAACGAACTGACACGTACCGCAGGACTATTCTGCGATGTACGTTACGTACAAATACTAAACAGTGCAAAACCTAGACAATAGGGAGCCACAGCGATCAACAGTAAATTGTACCTATACGCTCTCAACAACATGCCGTTCGAATATAGATGCACTCCTTTCTAGCTAATCAGAACGGCACATAAACTTTCTTAGCTTATTGCCTTTTACTAGTTCTAATCATCCTACAACTGCTAGCGACAAATCTAGCATTGATGTCCCGTTATATCTATTTCGACAAGACGGCAGTAACACAATTAGGTAATACCGGCTGGCAGTGGTAGCTGTACTCATCCTATCACCATGAAGTCCACAACATCCATCATCAATAAGCAATCGAGTTCATTCGTATGTGTATGTATGTATGGCTGGCTGGCACCATAACATGCTTTGTCGCTTAGGGCTACGAGGTTGTAGCGTGATCGTGCCTCGTTTTCGTTGTCGGTGTTCACCACTAACATCAGCTATGCTACTGCATCAACAAGCCGTCAATAAGAGGCCAGGCGGGGCAAAAGCAACGCAATAGCAGCAGTCATTGCGTTCACGAAATAACTCAAGCAAAATCATAGAGTTGGTGTTAGATCAACAGAATGGCTTGAACAGTCGGAGAGACGTCACGAGTGATCTGACCGTGCTTCTTGCCGCCATTGACTAACTGTGTTTATATATATATCTATATGTTTCGGTCAACTCTTAGCCGGACGCTCAATTTCGTTTCACGCATGCATGACAGTCCGAATGTCGACGAGCTCAACACTATTGAGAACCTTCTGTCCAGTTTTATCGACGAAAAAAATTCTGGTTGGGTGCAATGGCACGCAAATGCTGCGGTGCAACAGACATCGAGTTAACAACTGGGTCGGCAGAGACCCAGTAAAGGAAAGTCCTGAAGGATGACCATTTGAATCAAACAGATCCGACCACACGACGCCACACTCAGAGGCGAGCATAGAAGAAGTCTATTCGCTTCGACGGCTAAAAGTTTACAACTCCCTCAACCATAGACCTTTCGGAGGCCCTATCACCAGCGTTGAGTGTGGTACTAAAAACAGGACAACTGACGTATATATGTGGACGCAGCAGTTTTAAGGTAAAGTGCTACCAGAATTTACCTCATGACGACAACATAGTGACCCAAAATAGAGGGCGAGTGAAATCGATCCTTGGAAGGACGAAAAAAATCATCTAAACCTACTATATTTCAAGACATGGCGCATTTGTTTTAGATCTTTCTTTACTCGACCCTGCACTTCAGTTAATCTTCCGCCAAGAAAAGTCCTGAAAATGAGAAAATCATAT